CTTAGAGCTGGATCTCATGGGGGCATTTCCTCAGCTGAGGCTCCTTCCTCTCTGATGACTCTAGCTTGTGTCAAATTGACACACAAAACCACCCAGTACAGTATATAGGTGGGATCCCTGTTAGTTTTACAGAGGTTGTTTTTGGTAGACTCTGACCAGTGAGAGAGAAGGCCTAGTGTCTTCTTTAAACAAACTTACAGTGCACATTGAAAAGAATGCGGGCATGTAGTTTGAAATCAAGGAGGGTATCAGGCAGTGGTGGTGCACACCTTGAATACCAGCACTTGGGAGGCAGAAGCAAGCAGATCTCTGTGAGTTCAGGGCCAGCCTGATCTACAGAGCTAGTTCCAGGACAGCCAAGGCTATACAAAGGAACCCTGTCTCAAAAAATCAAACCAAACAAACAATAAACAAAAGAGAAAGCAAAAATGAACAAGTCAGAATGCTTAATTGAAAATAAACTCAAAGACAGGATTTGAACACGGAGGGAGGTAAAGGCATCACCAGAGAGAAGAGTTGCTGTGAGCTGCAGACGAAGGGAGCTGCCAGGTTGGCTCACACATAGAACTAGCATGTGCCATCAAGTGCTTCTCATGAGCAAGGCCGGGTTACAGACCCATGCATGCACCTGTCTTTATCAGGCCGTGATAACACTGTTAGAAACACTTGTGGTTGCAAGGGACCAGTACACATTGGTAGTACCTCTTCCCACTGGGGTGGTTTTTATTCTTTAGGTGATCCGGGTGGCCTTCGTCAGCCTCTTAGAATGTGAGCGTGGCAGCAGCCCCACCCTGTCCCTTTTATTTACCACAGTGTCTCTAGCCTTCCTTGCGGTGCCTGTGGGATAGGATCTCCCTTTGAGGCCCACCCGCCTCTTTATTGATGTTTTAGCTGGGAGAACTTGCCCCCCCCGGCAGAGCCTCTCTGCTTCTGCCCCAGTGCTCTCTGGGGACCCTCAGAATGTTGTAGTGACCTCAGATGATATGGCTGGTCCCGGGGGCCACGGGAAGGATGATGAACCCTCTTCTGTTTTTCTTAGGCTGTGGCACTCACTGGAAGCAGGCGGTTGGTAGGAATGCCCATGACTTTGCGCTCGTGTATATGGCCTGTGTATGAGCATCTCCATGTGCAGACGCCTATCACTCATCTCTGGCTATTCACACTCAGGAACTGCAGAGACTCTAGCAACTCTCCAGATGGGTCCATCACTTCATAAGCGCCCACTGTTCACTGTCCCAAGTGCAGCAGTTGAATAGACAAGGATGACAACACTTTTCTTTCAAGACAGGGTTTCTCTGTGTAACAGCCCTGGGTGTCCTGGAACTCGCTCTGTAGACCAGGCTGTTCTCACAGAGCTCCACCTGCCTCTGCCTCCCGAGTGCTGGGATTAAAGGTGTGTATTACCATTGCCCAGGGACAATGCTTTCCTTACCAACCAGGAAAGCTTTTACTTCTTTGGAGTGAAATAGACTTGATTCGTAAGGGTTGTTTGTATATCAATAAATAATATGTATTCATATAGGCTATATGATAATTTTAATAACTAACATCTGTTTCTTGAGAAAACTATTAATTAAGTTAATGTAAGTTTAGGGAAAATTTTAAATGATTTTTGTCTTGTCTTGTTTTATTTTTTTGTTCTCTGTGTAGCCTTGGCTGTCCTGGAACTCACTCTGTAGACCAGGCTGGCCTCGAACTCAGGGATCCATCTATTTCTGCCTCCAGAGTGGTGGGACTAAAGACATGTACCACCATTGTCTGGCCACTGTTTTTACATTCTTAATTTTTTTCAGGTTTATTTTTATTTGTGTGTATGTGTGTGTTGGGGTGTGAGTCAGTGCCCATGTGTGTAGGAGCTCTGAGGAAGTAAAAAGACTCAGCTTCCTCCTGAGCTGGAGTCCAGGCAGCTGAGAGCCTCCTGATGTGGGAATGGAAGTTGAGCCCTTTGCAAGAGCAGTGTGTGTTTTTAACTTCCGATGCATCTGTCTAGCCCCATTGGTTGTGTTTTGGAGTCACAAAAATCTCTACATATATTTGAGAACAAAAAGACAATACCATATCACAAAAACTATTGAGGCATAAATCAAATTCCAGCTGTTTGTTACTGGTGTGCAGGAATGCAGTGAATTCTTGCATATTCATCTCGGTTCCTGCCAGTCATACTATGCTCAAGCATTAGTTCCAGTGGGTTCTCTCTGTTAGAGTTTTGGCCTTTTTGTGTAGATGATCATGTGATCTCAGAATAAACACAAGTTTGTTTCTGGTTTCTCAATTTATATTTTCCATTTTTTTCTTGTCTTATTGCACTAGCCCAAAACTTCCACATCTATTTAGAAAATAGTCTCATATTCATGGTAGAAAGTCACATCTACGTTCAGACCTCCTTACAGCAAAGCCAGGCCTAAGGGTGGGAAACTGAGTGCCCCTGTCCTTCTGAAGTTTCAAGGGGCTCCATAGAAACTGTGGGGCCAGAAATGACTTCGCATCTAGAGGGGAATTCCACATTGGTGCTTCCTGTGACCTCTGCCCTTTTGTGTTTCAGAATGTTCTCTCTCTTGGCTGCAAACCATAGAACATAACCTGGGTATGTGTCTGGGAGTTTGTTCTGGGCAGGGCATGAGGGTTGGCCTCTCCAGAAACTGTTCATGCTCAGGGTGGGGAGTAGTGCCAGCATCCTGCAGGCTGGTCGGGTGGGGTGAGCTGGGATGTAGTGGGTTCTCCACAGACTGCGTTCCCCGCCTAAGGTGGGGCAATAGCCCACCTCTCACGGTTCTCGGTACCAACTACGTGCCGGATGGACTCTCTAGATTTAGAATCACATTTTATCCCCCCATAGGGGGGCCGCAATCATGTTTCTCATCATATAGATGGGGAAGCTGAGGCAGAAGCATTGTTGGTATTACTGGCCCCCCAGTCTTTATGGGGACAGGAAGTGACAGTCTGATGGCCAAAGCCTCTGGCGCAGGGAAGACGTACCCTATATGCATGGTGATTTAATGTTTTTATTGAACGTGCCCAGACTGCAGGATACAGCCTTTTTCTACATATCAGTGAGGAGAAGGAATGAATGATGCTACTTGGCTCATGATATACCCTCACCTAAGTCATCACGCAGTTCCAAAGATGCTTGTGTGGGGAAGGTGCCTCTTAGAACTGGCAAAAGGAGACCAAAATCTTGGTAATCATATGAGATTACGCACACAGTGTGAAAGCTGAGTTTCCTCTGCCTTCTCTTATCAAATACCACTCCATAGAGATAAATGTTTATAAATGGCATCTTGGCATGTGTCCTCCCAAACATTTTAACACCTCTGGAAGCATATTTATGTAATAATTACTGTTCCAAACACTTGATCTTTGCAAGACATGATGCTAAGCTTTTCATGCATTTTGTTTAATCTTTGCAATTCGCTCCTAAGGCTGGCATGGACGAGCCCCACAGTATAGATGAGGAAACCAGTGCACAGAGAGGAGAGGCAACTCACTTGACATCACACAGCTTCTAAGAGGCAAGACCTGAGCTTGAACCCAGGCCTGACCCCTTAGCCCACATGCCACACGTATCTCTCAGCATGCAGGTGTATGTCATTTTAAAAAAGGAGGTCAAAAGAATATTCTGGAACTCTCTTGTGTATTTCTCCCAACCATACACCATGGGCATCTTCCCATGTCAGCGCCTAATGCGCTACTTCATTCTTTCAACAGTTGCTGGGCATCTCATATGGCTGTATATGGATGTGTGTAGCTCATCTCCTGCAGATGAACGCCGGGGTTTCTCTTGCAGTATAGGTATCATCGAAATACTATGAGCCGTTTATACCTCTGTCTTTGGGAACGTCCCTAGGACATACCAGGTTGATTTTCTTCTACCACTTCCATGGTTTTCATTCTAAAAACCAGATTGCAATCTACCTGCAATCTCTTGCATCTTGCACACTTCAGAGTGTGTATGCAGAGGGCTTCTGTGCATGCTGGTCCCATGTGAACCCCAGAGTGCTGAATAGGAAGGATTAGAGAGTGGGGGTAGGTGCCTGTTGTGTTCTTGCCCTACCTCCCTTTGGCCCGAGGGCAGGAACTAAGATGGGACAGAGTTTGGTGCAAGGGACCACTCTCAGTGTCCATGTTTGTCCTTGCTCCGGAGGGCCCTTAGCCCTGCATGCTGCCTTTGGGGGAGACTAATAGTGGCTGCTGCCAATTTTGAACCCTCCTGAAACTCAGGCACGGAATACATAATTTCTTATCCATTCAGCTGGAGATTGATTGTCTGCAGGGGGAGGGGGGAAACTGAGGCTGGGATGGAAAGGAAATGGCTTTTCAGATTGCTAATGGCAGAGACAGGACACATCCTCAATCATGTCCCTCTTCACTTGGATGTGTGGTGCTGAGCCCTGTCCTGTCCTGCATGTACTGTGTGTGGCTGATGTCTTTGGTGGTCAACAGGATGCCTGGTCTTCCCATGGGGCTTTGATCAAGGAAATGGGAACAGAGCATGCCACTCCTGGGCAGAAGCGTTTAAATCTGGGCATGATTTCCTGCGTTTCCTTGCTTCACTGGACCTTGACATCTCATTTTGAGATGGTGACATCATAATGTGGTGGCTCCTTGGAGCGAGCATGATGAAAAGGGCCCTATCTGACCCTTGTAAGTGGAAGTGAATCACCGTTGCTATAAACAGCTGAGATATTTTATTACCAAAGCTCAACTAATGCTGACCAATACACTCTCTTTGGTTAAGTCTCTGGGCCACTCCCAATCGTTCCCTGTGGAGCTTCCTCAGAGAGAATTTTTGGACTTAAATGAAAACACCGTGGTGAGAAGGATTAGTGTGGTCTGAGGCTACAGAAGAGGAGAACCCAGACATGGAGGATAAGGTTGATTTTTGTCTGGAAGAACCCAGACATGGAGGATGAGGTTGATTTTTGTCTGAGGGGTCTCGAACTGGCCCCACTGTATTGGGGCACTCTATTAGTCTTGACTAACATATATGTTCTCTTTGGTAGGTGGCCCTTCCCCGGGTGGCGGTGCCCCCTGGCACCTTCGGAATGTCCTCAGTGATTCGGTGGAGAGTTCAGATGATGAATTCTTTGATGCTAGAGGTAAGTTCCATCTCCATACCACCAGTTGGGCGACCTTTTGAGATGTCCTAAAAGGTGGATCCCTGCTGAGGCCAAGAGCCTTCTCCACCCTTCTTGCAGCCTTCTTGCAGTTTTGCACTCCATGCTTAGATAATTGGTGGGATTAGAAATGTTTTTAAATCTCCTAATATGTGCGAGGTGATTGGGACACCATGGGATATGGTGGTTTTGCTTGCCATCCTCATAACTGTATGAGCTAGCTCGAGAGGCAAACATCACAAGATGATACAAAGGGCCTTGGTGGGAGTGAGGCCATCAAGTAAAAGTTACCAGCTGACACGAGGGAGAATTCAGCCAGGGCACTGGCTTTGATGTGGGCGAGATATCCTTTCTGCAGAGTCAGGAAGTAGGAGCTTGTCAGGTGAGGAGACGAAAGAGGCTTCCAGACAGATGTGAGAGCAGGTGTGGTGTCTCTAAATTAGGAACGACTGAAGAATATTTGGGCCCCTGAACGGAGGTGGTTGGAGGTGGTTAGAGGTGGTATGCCAGGGGAAAAGGAGTGAGCGATGAGACTGGTCTGGGATGCCTACAATAATCCATGTCGCTTCCAAGACAGGCTTCACAGATATGAAGAGAGCCACCAGTGATGCTCAGGGGAGCTGTGACAGATAGTGGGCACCCAAATGGCACCCAGAGGGACCCCAAGAGTGGCATTTCAGGTAGAGAGAACACAGGCACCAAGGTGTGATTGTATCAGGCAGATGCCGGGGTGGGAGATGTGTCAATCTGGAATTAGGAGAGAAGAGAAGGTAGCCACACTGAGCCAGCCTGGGTATGAGTGGTGAAAAACCCTGCGAGTCTGATCCCAGTTGGAGGGTCCGGGTGCCTTCTAGCTTTGTTGGTCCTACCCTGGGTGTTAACTTATTTGGAATGGGACTAGTTTGAAATACCTGGTAAACATAATCTTGAAGACAGACAGACCTTAGGCATCATCTAGACCTAGAACAGGACAGCGGGGACTGGTCTGAACATGACCCTAACTGTGGCTTCAGTTAAGTCTTTCCCTTCTTGGGGTCTCAGTTTTCCTCTCAGCTCTGTATACCCCCAATTCGAGAACGTTTCCCAAATATTAGGGTTCAGAAGATTTCCCGGGAAGCCTGGCTGGATGCGGGGGCTGTCCTCACTCAAGGCTTCCCCATCCCTGGCTCTGGGCAGAGAAACCTCTCCCCAGTGCTGTCCCTAAAACAGCCCGTTGGGGGCTCATTTCCCATCTTCCCTTGGTGTCTGATTGGAGTGGCTGCCAGGGCTGTGTTTCTCCATAGCAACTAGCCCACAGTATGACAACACAGCTTCAATATTTTGATACGCAGAAGAGTTTCATTTCAATATTTCTGCAGTTCATCAGCGCTGTGTGTCCCTAGCTGCTATGATGGCATGCTGCAGGAGGCAAGCATCTGTGGGGGCACCAGGTCATATCTGTCTTGGGGCTGCTGACCCATCTTCCCTGTGAACAGCTGGAGGTCCTGCCTGCCCCTATCCCTGGGACTACTGTCTCTCTCAGCTGCCCTCAGCTGTGTCTGTTTTCCTCTCCTCAGTCTCAGAGAACCTGGCCTTCCCATGTGCTCGCCTGCGGCCACAGCACACCTCTGTTCTTCCCTCCCTCTGTCTTGTCATCTCCTTCTTTCTGATCTCCCAGGATTCCAGGCTCTCCCTCAGGGGGTGGCCTCAGACCCAGATCATATAAGACCTGGGATGCCCCTCTAGGTCTTTTATGTGCATATTTGTATACAATGTGTTTGTGTGTGTGATTTGTTTATGTGTGTATGTGTTTGTGTGTAGATAATAGAAGTCAACCTTGAGTGTCGTTCTTCAGATGCCATCCACCTTAATTTTGGGACAGGGTCTTTCAATGGCCCAAGGAACATCAATCAGACTAGTCAGGCTAGTCAAAGAGTTCCAGGGACCCACTTGTCTCCATCTCCCCAGCTCTGAGATTGTAAATTACCCAGCCTTTTACATGAGTGTTGGGGATCAAACCAAGTCACTCACACAGCAAGCATTTTACTGCTTAGCCTTCTTCGCAGTCCCATCCCATTTTACAAGGTGAGAAACGGAGGCAGGGGATTTATTTAGGGCTACAGATTGTAACAGACCAGAGGGTAGAATTCTACCTCATTTACTCCCTTCTTTCACGGGTATTTATTGAGTATATGCTCAATCAGCGTTAGGCCCCACCCTCAGTGTAGAGAAGACAGACCCCATTCCAGTCCTCATGGAGCTACCGCTTAGATAACAGGTGGAAAGGGAGAAGACAGTGCTTAGGCAAATAAAATACACTGAGAATTGCTCTAAGAAGAACACAAAGCAATAGGCACTTCACTGCAGAGAGTGTTTGAATGGCAAACAAACACATGAACAGTTGCTCAACACCATCAATCCTCAAGGAAAGGCAAATCAAAACGGCAGAGAGGACTGGAAGGGTGGCTCAGCTGGTAAAGTGTTTGCCTTGCTAGCACAGGTACCCGAGTTCAATCCCCAGCAATCCACTTACATGAAGACACCAGGCATTGATGTAATCCCAGAACTGCGGAGGCCAACAGAATACCAGTGAGTCTGGTCTAACTGATGAGTTCCAGTGAGAGACTCTCTCAAGGAAATGGATTGTGTTCCTGAAAATGATACTGAGTTTGTCTCCTGGTGTCCACATGCATGTGTACATACATGTATGTGTACACTCACACATTTAAAACAAAACAAAACAAAACAAAGCAACCTGTAAAGATGGGCTGGTGAAATGACTCAGTAGGTAAAGGTGCTTGTTGCCAAGCTTCATGATCTGAGTTCGATCCCGGGAACTAAGGTAGTGGAAGCAGAGAATCATCTCCTGAGAGTTGCCCTCTGACCTCCACATGTGTTCTGTAGTACAAGAGTACCTCTCAATATGCACTTAAAATAAACAAATATAATGAATTGTTTAGATTGTAATGATACCACTATGTACCTGTTAGAATGTTCTATCAGAATAACTGGCTGAGGTGAGGCGATGGTGGCACATGCCTTTAATCCCAGCACTTGGGAGGCTGAGGCAGGTGGATCTCTGTGAGTTCCAGAGCAGCTAGGACACAGAGAAACCCTGTCTTGAAAAAGAAACAAACAAGCAAACAGAAACCCAAAACAACAACAACAACAAAAGCTCAACAAAATGTGAAATAACCAGTCCTTTCAAACTATTCTCAGGGGAAATGGAAAAAAATTGATGGCAGCTATTAAAGAGGGGTGTGGGGTGTAGATCAGTGTGGAATTTCCCAGCATGCACAAGGGCCTGGGCTTCATCCTGTCCTGTTGCTTCTAAGTGTTTACTCAAATTAAGGGAAATGTTATGCCAGCCTGATTTATTCTAATCCCAATCTGAAAATGTCCCAAATGAAAACCAGTGAGCGAATGGCGAAACAGAGTCTGGTCTAGATGGAAGGAACGAACTGAGGCAGGCGGCAGTGGGGACGACATCGGAATAACAAGTCCGGCTGCAGAAGAGCACGGTGTGACTGCCCTGACAGCAAAACTCGAAAATGCCACTCCGCCTGCAGGGACAGGAGCAGATCAATGGCTTCTCAGGGTGGGAAGGAGGGTGAAACAGAGATCACAATTACTGCCTTGCAGTACCTACAGTGTTCAAAACATCACATTAGCTGTTTCATTTCATTCATTTCTCCCAATTTTTTATTAGAAGATTTAAATTTACACAATAAAAACTAATGAAAGTTGAAAGGCATCAAGATAAAAATAAAAACTGTTAGGGATTGCTATTCTCGTGGCCCACGATGTCTAGGCACATTCCCTCATTGAGTTGAGAAGTACCTGTTCCTTTCGGGTCTCCTCTCTGGCGTCTAAGTATCCACCCCTCCTTCGATGAATATGCATGAACAGACTGGACTTGGCCTTTGCAGGGCCAGTGGCTGGGGAACTGAGGGATCTGGAGCCTGATTATATTTAGGTACACTGGCGCTGGAAAGTCTAACCAAGAACAAAGCAGAGACACCTCCCCCTCTCAGGGCGCCAGCCTCCTGTCCTTTATCCATCTCCATTCTCTTTTTCTTGGTTCTCAGGATTAGGCTAGTCCCCTGTCTCTGCTTCATTTAAGGCTGGAGTGTGTAGTCCTGTATGCTGGACAGCATAGACCATTCATGGTTGTAGTCCTCTGCCTTCCATAGCACCTAGGAGAAGATGGTGCTGAGATTAATAGCCCCATTTTACAGAAGACTCTAAGGCAAGGGCAGGTCTCATAGCTGATGGGGAACTTGGGCTAGGTCTTCCCTCCTTAGTTGGGTTTCTGCTGTGAGATCGTGGACTGGCAGAGACTCCAAGCTGGGAAAAGACGGAGAAGGAAACCTGGGATCTGAGGTCCACTGACTGGCAGCTCTCTGAGCTCAGGCATGTCTCAACCCCCCTTTTTCCTCTAGAAGACAATAGGAATGTAGCCGTTTAGTCCATGGATGAAGAGGAAAGAGGCCATGGGGAGTAGAGTGGTGGTTGCTAGACAGAGGAACTCTTGTAGATGCAAACCACAGGGGTCTCTAAGGCCCTTCTCTCATCCCTTGTTAGGGGAGGGGATGGAGAGAGCGTCATGATGCTGCCCTAAAATTTCTGGAGGTGAGGTAAGGTAGGGACCATTATCAAGGTGAGGGAGAATGAGTAGAGTGTAGAGGCATCCAGGATGAGGTCTGTGTTAGGGCAGGGTGAAGGTGAGGACCAAGCAACAAGCACTAATGTCCTTAGAAAGACTGTTTTTATGGTCCTGATATGAATGCTATTGGACAACCAACTAGAGACGGTGACAAGTCCTCTGCTCCATGAGCTGGAGACCCTGGACAGTGCCTGGGCCCTGGGAAGGAAGAAAGTCTTCCTGCTAGCTTGCTCTGGAGGCTGGGCTTATAGGATGCTCCCAGGCTTTGTCAGGGGCATAGCCAGGGGCAGAGTCGTGCTGGGGTTAAGGTCAGAGTTGTACTCCAAGTGAGTGAGGCTCAACATGGAGCTTAGCGTGGGGAGGGACTGGAGATGCTGCCACAGTGTCTGCACCAGGGGCTATGTGGGTATGGGAACTAGCATGCAAAGGAACATATACTCAGTTCCCAGGGCAGTCATTCAGATGTTTTCTCTGGGGTCCTGTGGGTACTATGGGGAGGCTACTCTACCAGGAGAGAAAGTGGAGGGAGGCTAGGGTTGGGCCTTTCTGATAGGAAACACTCTGAAAGGAGCCATTTTACATGCTGGGCATTCTCTCACCCCTCTGCCCCTCTCCGAGTGTGTGTGTGTGTGTGTGTGTGTGTGTGTGAGTGAGGAGAGAGAGAGAGAGAGAGAGAGAGAGAGAGAGAGAGAGTTCTGGGCCTTGTAGGGGGCAAAGCCCATTGCTTCCAGAGTGAAGATCTGAAGGCTGAATGTGGAGAGTGGGGGGGGGGGAGATGACGACAGGCAAGAATTCCAGGGGGAAGGAGAGGCAAGAGACAAAGCATTTGGAAGGGTGGGCAAGTGGAGAGGGAGAACCGGAGAATAGGGCAGAGAGACAGGGAGAGGGAGCAACCCAGGGGAGATTCGAGAAAGGATGCAGGAGGGAGAGAGGGAGAGAGGACACACACGGACGGGGACACACACACACACACACACACACATGAGAGAGAGGAGAGAGAGAGAGAGAGAGAGAGAGAGAGAGAGAGAGAGCGCTCAGGAGTGCAGAACTGAGGGGGGTGGGGAATGTGGGGATGCATAAGACTGCTAGTGATCAGAAAGAGGAGGGGCAAAGGGCAGGAAAGCCTCCCAAATGGAGTGAGGACCCTATGCAGGAGACAAGATCCTGCAGAAGAAAAGGAACTCCAAAGACATAAGAGAGATTAAGGAGGCTCTTCCACTCAGAGAAAAGGAGAGACCCAGAGGGAGGGGAGGAGGGCAGATACTGGGGTGTGGTAGGACAAGGGAGAGACAGTGAGGACATCCTGAGAGAACCCAGGGAGTCTGAGAGACACAGAGGCAAGTTCAAGGACCCTAAGAGGTATAGGCTCATGGGAAGAAAACCCTTGAGAACCCATCTTTGTTGGGCGGGGGGACACGACGACAGGGACTGGAACCAGGCAGGAGGGATCATGCTGAGTTTGTGAGAGAAAGAAATGTTTGATGGAAAACCAGACAAGAGACCAAAGGCAAAGGGAGTTGAGCCACACAGGGAGAGAGAGACAGAGAGAGCCCTGATGCACAGAAGTCTGCATGCTCAGAGCTATGGAGCCCTGGCAGACCCCAGGGGCTCTGGCAGCCTCACACACACCTCTGGGATAGAATCTCCGGCATTGTAGGAAGCCCTCACCAGTACGTACTGAGCACCTACCTGGCACCCCTCTCTCTGGTCTTCCCAGAGTTCTTTATGGTGGTGTCCTTCACATCACTGACTTCCTGTGGGACAGAGGTCACACAGTATGTGCTTAGGAGTCTTTTTGCTGTAGGATAGTTGTTGGAATGGGCAAAGAAATACCCACTTGCTTGGGTAATCAACAGAGCCAAGAGACAGAATTAAGGCGTGTGCCACTATGCCTGGCTTTAACCTTATTGCGGTTCTGCTTCTTCAAGGATGATGGTACCTTGTATTTTTGCACAGTGTTTTAGCTTGTGTAGTTCTTTCAAGTTTATTATATCATTTGTTCCTGTGGCAGCTTGCTAGAAGAGTAGGAGAGCTATAGGTTTTATTGCTGTTTGAGGGACAAGAAAACAGACCAAAGTGTGTGTGTGTGTGTGTGTGTGCAAAAGGAAAGTTCACCGCTTGTACAATGGGCACCAGAAGTTGGTTCAGAGACTTGCCAAGTATTTGATGCCACTTACAGGTGTGAACTTGTCCCCAGAAGGAGCACACCTGATTGAGGAAGCTGTCCAGGTATGTGGGGCCAACCAATACAGGATGTCCAGGACAGGATATCGGGAGGATAAAATGTTAGGGCATGGCATTCTTTATACTTTTTTGTGAGTTAGGTTCTCGCTATGTAGCCTAAGTTGGCCCCAAACCTAATGGTCCTCCTACCACAGCTTCCCAAGTGCTGGGATTACAGTTTTATGCCACAGTGGCAGGCTGAGGGACATCATAGTTTACTCAAGTGCTCTGTGTATCTGGTTTTGAATCCAGGTGCTAGGCAGAACCTTTGAGCAGGGATCATTCAACTTCTGTTTGCTTCAGTTTCCTGGTTTACAAAATAAAGATAGTAATTATTGTTCCTTGTTGTTGTGTGAGAGAGATTCTGTTTGCATACGCTTGTTGCTGTGGGGTTTTCATGTGTATGTGTATGTGGAGAGAGAGGCTGGGTGTCTGTTTTGATGACTTTCCACTATACCTGAAATTTGATTTGGTAAGACTGTCTGATTAATCAGCTTCAGGACCCACCTGTCTTTGTCTCACAACTTCTAGCACTGGGGTTGATTACAGGCATGTGAAGTCTTTTTTTTTTTTTTTTTTTTTGTAGTTGGTTCTGGTAATCTGAACTTGTCTTCATGCTTAGATAGCAAGACTTTATTGACAGAGCCATTCCTAGCCCCACTATTACTCCCATTTGTACAAGAATTGAATTAGTTTCTTTTTGGTTTTGCTTTATGTGGTTTGAGAGAGGGTCTTATGTAGTCCTGGTTCGTCTTGAATCCACGATATAATCAAAGCTATCTTGAACATCTGATCTCCTGCCTTCACCTCCTGAATGATAGAATTGCAGGCATGCACCACCATGTCTACCTTATGAATTAATATTTGTAAATATGTATACCAGTATCACTAGTAAAAGTTTAATAATGACTGTTAAATCAATCAAATAAATAACACAATAAGGCAGGAGGCATTTTCAGATATGAGATCTGGATTACTGAGCGCTAGTGTGAGTCGGAATGCTGGACAGCTCCCAAAACTTTTTGTCCGCCATATTGGTTGCTGGAGAAACGCTCTGCCTGAAAGGCAGCTATCAGCTTTTATTCTTTATGACCCGGAATTGGGGGTTCTCCTCAACACCCTTGCTTTCTGTGGTGTGAAGAAATCCACAAAGCTCTTCACCATGACGGCTCAGCTTGGGTAGGCGGTGACAGTGAGAAGTGTGTCTGTTCCCACTGGTGTGCTCTTATAGAAACATTCCTTCTCAGGAGCAGGGATTGTGTCACAGGTGTGGTGGGGGACCCAGAGGCTTGTGTATGGTGTGGATGGGGGATAGGAGCCCCACTGCTTCTTCCCAGAGTAATCATTACGGACAGAGACAGGGCTAGGGGAAATGGAGCACGAGTGGAGACATTAGAAGGTTCCTGCAGTTGAGATGGAAGCTAAGGTCTCCATGTAGCTCATACACCTTAGAACCAGAAGGCTTTCCCTCCCCTTACCTCAGAGTTACTCCAGCACCACTCCAGATCCAACCAGCCCAAACCTTGCTGGTGAGCGACTTGTCAGGAGGAGACGGGAACACAATGGCTCTTATCTCTGGGCCCCCTCTGTGCACCGAGACTCTGAAACCCTTCACCTCAGCTGATCCTCCCCAGAACCCTGTGAGGTGGACATTGCCTGTTTATTTTACTGTTGGGAAAACGGAGGTTCATATAAGTCCAGTCACATTTCTGGAGGAAAACCATGGGCAAATCATGAGTTTTTGGTCTTTTCTTTCCAAGAAATGCTATTCTCAGTACTAGGAGTGGATAACTGTCTCATTGCCACTTTCTTTTGCTATAGATGGGCCCTGCTGAGTCACAGTGTCATGGTTGCAGTGACAAATTCCTCAATAGTTAGTCCTGTGAGTGAAGATACTTTCAGTAGTTGAAGTCTTGGGTGGACGGCGAAGCTCAGTGGTAGAGCTCTTGTCTGCCATGTGCAAGGTCCCGGGTCCCATCTCTAGCACTGAAGAAAAGAAGCCAAAAGCTTTTAAAATCTTTTTCAACTGTGGGTGAAATGAGTACCCCCTTAGACACCAGCTCCGTTAGAGCCACCCATACCTGGCCCCATTTGCTAACATCCATCTCTCCCCTTCCCTCAGAGGAAGTGGCTGAAGGTAAGAGCGCCATCCTTATTGGCATGAGCCAGTGGAGCTCCAATGACCTGGTGGAGCAGATTGAGACCATGGGGAAGCTGGAAGAGCATCAAGGTGAGCCTCTGTCTCTCCCAAGACTGGCTGTGCATGTGTGTGTTACAGGGTGGGGGTGGAGGCTGCCCCTTGTGCCTGGGACATATAAGACTCTTTGAGGGACCGTATGTGGGGGCTGACTGGGGCAAAACAACCTCAGGGCACTTCAATAGGACACCTCTTCTGTCCTCAGAGTAGCACTCAGGAGCCATGGGTAATCAAGGGTTATCTAGGTCAAACTGTTAGAATTCTAGGTCTATGGGATTGAAATCATTTAGATAGATAGACTTCCAGGAACTAACCTGCTCACAAGACCTGCATGAGTCCCTTCCCAAGGGAGTAGTCACAGCCCAATCACTACCTAGCAGGCTCCATCTTTAAGATACTCCATAGTCTCCATGCTATTACACCGGGAACTAAGCTCCCAGCATATGAACCTTAGGGAACAGACACATCCATTCCCTAACATCCATTTCATTTTTCCAATCCTTTCTCGGCCAGAGCAAAACACTCGATGGTTTTAGTCTGGGCAAGCCAGAGTTGCTAAGTAGCCACAGCCAACCTAATCAGGAGTTGTCCGGAGAAGGTGGTGTTAGCCCAGCCCAAGAAAATGGCCATCATGCCCCAGGATTTGCTCCTTTTCTTATCCCAAATCCCTTCTATTTTGGATCAGAACTTGTTCCATGCAGAAGTACCTACCCTGAGAGACAGGCAGGCTCAAGTTATTGTTTTCATTTTAAGAATGAAGAAGCTACGAGAAGCTGGGTCCGGGTCTTATTTAAGGTCCTTCTAGGCTGCGACACTGTCTCTAAATTGGCCTTAGGGGCCAGATGAAGACTGGAGCCTTCTTTGAATGTAACAGTAATCTAGGGGCCATTTAAAGAGTTCCATATTCTGGATCCCACTCTCCAGCCAGGCTTAGTAGCCACAAAAAGACAAACCCAGGTCTGTAGTCACTGCTCAGTTGGCTTTTCCTCCTCGCTTCCACCCCCACCTGTCTGCTAAGTCTCATGTGACTCAGACCCAGTGTGAGCTCAGCAGGGGTGAGGGAGAGGCAGTGCAAACGGTGAGGGTGGTGTGGTGGTGGGTGGGAGGAGTGGAAGGGAAAGAAAGCAGAAGGAAGGTTCATGGGTCAGGCAGAGCCTCTGAAGTAAAAGGTCTGTACAGGAGCCTCCGTCCTGCCACATCTCAGGAGCTCTCCAAGTCTTGTTTTCTTCAGCTGCAGTGTGGGGGTACAAGTAACACGGGTGTGTGAATTATGAGATCATGCTTTCAGTAATGCAATCAGGTCATTATGATGATGAGTGAACCATCTTGCACTTCATCAATATGCGCCTGCCGGCTTCAAGCTTTCTGCTCTTCCATTCACATCTCATCCGGGGGACCCCTTCATGGCAGTGCCTGGCTGATTGCCTTACCTCCAAACAGGAGCTCTTAGGGGCTCCAGACTCCTGTTTACTGGCAACCCCCTGTCTGCATGACTAAAAGACCTCTCGTCTCCACAACTTCTCAATGCTGCTGACCTTCCACTGCCCCTTGAATTATCTTTTGCTTTCCATCTTTTATGTCCACCATCATTTCTATCACACCACACAGACACTTCTTAGCCATCCTAACGTCCAGACTTTGAGGATGCTGGCTCTGGGGAGTATGTACCTGTGTGCACGTGCTCCTGGGTTATGCTTCTTTTCTTTTTAAACTGTGATCACATCTTGTTCTCTTGGTCACCCAGTTGTCTGTTCTGTGCATTTCTTCATGTCTTAGACCACGCACATGTCCCCAGAGAGACTGGTCTCTCTCTCTCTCTCTCTCTCTCTCTCTCTCTCTCTCTCTCTCCCTCCCTCTCATTTTTTTAGACAGGGTCTCTCTATGTGTTCCTTGCTTTCCTGGCCTCACTCTGTAGACCAGGCTGTCTCAAACTCACAAAGATCCTTCTGCCTCTGCCTTCCAAGTCTAGTTGCTCTTGTTTTTCTTTCTCTGAACTGGGGGATTTCACTCACCTTGAATATTTTTATGCTAAACCTACAGTTCATGGTTTCTATTCCCCATGGGTGGTATAAATTTAGACCCCACACTCATAAGTGGCACAGACTTAGGGTGTTAATTACTCATGTGTGACTTTTTCTTTCTCACTGTCTGTGAATGTTTTTTTGGTTGCTGTCCCAAAGGAATGGTGTCTGACTCTCTCTGTGTGTATGTGAATTTTTGTGTATATATGTATGTATATATGCATTTATATATACATATATGTGTTTATGTGTATGTTTATGTTGTGTGCATTTGTATATATGTATGTGTGTTGAAGTGTTTGTGTGTATGTTGCATATATATGTGTGTATGTTTAAGTATTATGTGTATATGTGTATTTGTGTGTCTATGTGTTTGTATGTATGTGTATATTGGGGTGTGTGTGCATATGTGTAAGTATTCTTTTATGGATATCACATTCCTTCAAGGATCCACTTTAGCTCCTCACCATCCACAGACTGGGATCAAATCTCGAGTTGGCAGCTTGTACTCAGCCCTTAGCCTGGGAGCCTCCATCCGTGGGATTCCAGGATCCCGGGTCCCGGGTCTGCTCTGTGCAGATGTTATCTTCCTCTTCAGGGCTCTTCTGGCTTTGTTTCTGTCCTTTGCCTGTCATTGCTCTTTGTTGTAGGCCAGGCTACAGATTCACATTTGAGGTGATGTATATTTCACTAAAAGGAGATCTTAGGTGTGAGCCCTGTGCATTTTAGTTATTAGTTGATCATTACTTGTTCTATTTTAATTAGCATTTTTTATTGTTGTAAAATCTACATAGCATATTTTTAAAAATATGTTCAGTGTCTGGTTCAGCAGCATGACGTCACATTGCTGTCTGGCTGTCCTCATGCAGCATTAGAACTTTGTTACCATTCCAGACTGACATGCTGTATTGAGCACCAATCCTCACCCCTCAGCCCCTGACAGATAGCAGGCTGCTTCCCGTCTCTTCTCCAGGCCCCTCAGAAGTAAGATCATATGGTGTTTGTCCTTTTGTGGCTGGCTTTTTTATTAGCATAATACTTTTGAGATTCATCCATGTTGCAGTATGAATCGGGACTTTATTTCGTTTTGTGACTGAATAATTTTCCATTGTATATACCCATTGTGTTAATCCATTCATCTATTGATGGACATTAAGGTTTCTACCTATTGTGATTAATGCAGCTGTGAGCATTAGCGTACAAATACCCACCTTTCTTGACTACGTTCTTGTTGGACGAAAATCAAACAATAAAAACAAAGCCAAAATCTTCCTTCCTGGTCCCTTTCACCTTAGACCTCCTTGTACAGCTCTCCAACTGGCATAGTTCAGTGGCTCAAATTAGACATTAGTGTTGCAAATCACCTGTTTTTTTTTCAACTTAGCAGTAGCCTTGAAGAGCTTTTTCTATGGCAAACAGATTCATCCCATTCTTTTTGCCTGCAGTATTGTACAATAGATGCACCATCATTTACATAGACATTCTGTAGTGACAGATATTTTTCATTATGAGAAGAATGCTTAAAGGTTTATTTCATTTTTTAAAGTTATATATACCTGTGTATGCTGTGTGTGGTTAGACGCACATGAATGCAGGTGCCCACAGCAACCAGACAAGGGCATCAGGACTCCTGGAGCTGGAGCTATAGGTGGTTGTGAGCTTCCTGACATGGATGCTGGGAACCAAACTCAGGTTCTCTGCAAGAGCAATGTGCGTTCTCAGCTACTGAACTCTCTCTCTCTATCTAGCCCCTCTTCTTAATTTATTATTGTTATTGTTATTATGAGTGTGTATGTTGAAACAGCATCTGACTGTCCCAGAACTCACTATATAGACCAGGTTGACCTTGAACTCACAGAGATCTGCCTACCTCTGCCTCCACAGTAACTACTTTCTTAAACACATTTTTTTACCCATCTTCTATTGGAATATTTATCTTTTGCTTATATGTCCTTACATGTTCTAGATGTATCTTATTTTCTGTTATTGAGTGAGTTACTTTTCTCAAGACCAAGACCCAAAGCCTGACAGGAACCACCTTAAAGGAGAGAAGGTTATTTTGTCTCCCGATACAATCTATCCGGTCTGAGCAGGGACCACACCTTCCTGGGTCAAGAAACAGAGACAGGAACATGCCTGGACTCAGCTGGCTTTTTCCTTTTTTTTTTCTTAACAGGTGTCTATGTGTGGTATGTGTGTCTGCATGTTTATACATGTGCATGCCACACGTGTATGAGATCAGAGTTTGGCATTAGGTGCCTTTCTCAGTCATTTTCTACCTAGTGTATTGAGGCAGGGTTTCTTGGAGTTTACTCATCTGGTTTGTCTGACTAACTAGCTTGCTAGAGGCCGATAGCACAGGCAGACTGCCACACCTACCCACATTTGTGTGACTGCTGAGAGTCTGAACTCGTAGTATGATAAAAGTGACAATCAAAATGAACCATCACAGCTGCATATTTGAAATTTTGCTTCTTCAAAATCTTGTACCAGCATGAACAGTTTGTCAGCTGAGTCTTTTGGGTTTTTCAATGTGCCATATCATCTAAAAATCTTAGCAGTTATATTCTTGCCAATATTTACACTACTTATTTTTCTTTGTAAATTGCATCATATAGCTATCTTAGAAGTTTGCCTCCATATTTACTCCAATCTCTGTAACAGGGCAACCCACTTAAGGGAGCAATTTATTTACTTTTATTTATGTGTTTATGTGTCTATATACATGAATTTATCTGCACCACATGCATGCAAGTGCCTATGGAGGCCAGCAGAGGACATTTGATTACTCAGAACTGGAGTTCCAGGTGGCTGTAAACTGCCATGTGGGTGCTGGGAACCGAACTCGGTTCCCCTGGAAGAGAGCAAGTGCTCTCAATCACTGAGCCATCTCTCCAGCCCCAGTGATCCACTTTTAGTGCCAAAATCACAGTTCACAATAAAAATATCACAAATTTGTACAAGAGATACCTGAGGTGTTTGTATCCCTAGGCCAGTACCTAGCAGGTAAAA